CAACTTAAGTTGTATCAACTTTTTCCTCCGCAGACGGTCTCGCAAATTGTAAGAAGTTCAAGTTTACGTTTGTTGAAGAATCCAATACTGAAACTTAATTATGACCTTCCTCCCTGATTCAGCCTCTTTGTAATTTTATGGTAACACTCAACAATTTCATTTCAAATGACACCTTCACGTTTTATTGCATTATGATTTATTGTCAAAACTGTACAATCAGCCTTCGCCTGTGTACTACAGTAACCTTTTCACTACTTTTTCCAAATGCTACTGCCTCACAAATGCGACTGATTCTATTGCTCAGAATACATGTAGTTGATTCAATTACTCCTAACTCAAAACTTTAAAAGATGATCTTCTGCTCAAATTGGTTTTAGTGGTCAGAAATTGCCTCAGATCACACCACAGAAATTGCTTTACTATCACTGCATGTCTCCCAACTATATCCCCCATTTACATTTAACTCCCCACATTTTCATCCCCAACACTACGCCGTACCCAATCTATGATCGGGTAAATCAGCTTGTGAATTAATACAAGGCATGTGAATGCTTTAACTTGCAAAGACAAAATAGGAAATAACTAAAGCAAATGTGCAATGACCTCTAAATATATGACTATGGACTCAGCAAACCATAGACTTAAATCAGTCCACTCATCATTATAACCTAAGGATCCATAAAGAAACTAACTTAGGAAAAATGAATTAATATCATAAAAAAAGGACTATGGAGAAATAACATAACTAAATAAATGCTAAACAAATATGCAGATGGCATGCTTAATTAAGTATAAAAAGAGAAATATGAGTAATATATGTATATGCTGTATCACATAAACGTATGAGGACTAGTGTGCCAGTCTAATAAGACACTACTGGTATCTTAGGTCACACGCTCCAATAAACACTGGACAAAAGAAATCTCTGCAGGGTAATAAACACACTTGGCAGACTTCCTGCCTCCCTGTACTAAGGTATGGTGTCTTCCAAGAAACTGAGTGCACCTCATTATATATGCAGCAACTTAGGGGATTAAGGGTCTAAGCAGAGGCTATACTACACTGGAATGTCGGACACTTCGCCCCATTTCCACGTCGCCCCATGTCATTTCGCCCCATGTCACTTAGCCCCTAACCACTTCGCCCCATCCCCACTTCGCCCCATTCCCACATCGCCCCATCCCCACTTCGCCCCATTCCCACTTCGCCCCATCCCCACTTCGCCCCATCCCCACTTCGCCCCAGCCGTTACAATACATGTAAAAAAAAATCTCATCTATTTTTTTGGCTTATAAACAATTTCAACAGATTCACTAATTGCTAACCAACGGAAAGAATTAGCCCATCACCAAATGAACAATTCATAACCAACCTCTCTAGCTAGGCTCTCCCCTACCGAGAAAAAAGCTTAAAGTAAAAGATCCAACTTTGTTCCCAACCCAGCTATACCAACCCGTCTCCCACTTATCTGAGAACGACAATACCTTTGACATCCTAATTTCACTCTTGGAGGAACCAATCTCATCTAAATGAAGTTGTAAGTGTCACATATCAGACAAATTTCGACGGAACATTTTCCTCAAGGCAGTGAGTTCCTTTTAACTCACTGACCCATACCTACGGATTCTTTTGAATCCAGCGGCTGATGATTTTATTCACAAGCCAATAGGAGAGGCGTCTCTGAATGGGATAGAGCCATCATTTCTCTCATCTGTGTCTCGAGCACCTCATCAGAGAGTTTGTATTTTTCCTAAGTTTTTAGAATTGGGAGCATTTATTATCTGGGGTCTTTGGCAGTTTATTTGGTCTGTACCCCTAGCCTTCACCTTTTTCATACTACATGGGGCGAAGTGGGGATGGGGCGAAGTGGGGATGGGGCGAAGCGGGGATGGGGCGAAGTGGGGATGGGGCAAAGCGGAGATGGGGCGATGTGGGGATGGGGCAAAGTGGGGATGGGGCGAAGTGGTTAGGGGCGAAGTGACATGGGGCGACGTGGAAATGGGGCGAAGCGTCCGACACCCCGAACCCCTACACTGCACTATGGACATCTTCACAGGACAAAGGAACTATGAATTTATACACTAAAAGTATAAATCTAAGAATATGTTCATAAAAAAAGTGGAAAATAGATGATAAAGAATATATTGTAAAATAAGGAAATCTATTCTTGAACTTTGTGTACTCAAGAAGTCAACTAAATGTGAACAAGAAATAAAGTGGATATATATGTAATCAAAGTAAGGGAAATCTAAATCCTTGAAATCCATGGAAATAGATTATATCTCTAAACACAGAAAGTCATCAAAAGGATGATCTTTCCTAAATATGCAATTATAAATACAACAACACAGTGAATCTGGGCTTCCTAAAGACCATCAATGAATGAATCCACTTTAAATTCAGTAATCAGAGTAAAGTTTAAGAATACTCAAGCTAACTTCAGAATTAATCAAAAAGTGTTCACAAAGTCTCAAGGCATTAACTAAGAACATATGTAGAAGGAAGCAGGACACTGTGTGGTGTTAACAGTACCAGTGCTAGTGGTGGAATGACTCACTCAAGACAAAGGATAGTGTGTGAGCTTTACCTTAAGGGTCAAGTGAGGGCGCTGTGCAGGAGAAATATGTAAATGAGCTGTCACACTAAGACAATAGAAATCTTGTCAACGCGATAACTTGAGAATAATTACGTAGGAGCTTTTAATTTGGTTTGTGGGTTGTCTGTTGTTCTTGATAGTCTTAAGAGGCCTGTTGCTTTTGGGGCCGACAGCTAGGTCAAGGTCACTAATTGCTGTATTGTGTCAGCATGAATGCTTGAGAAATACTTTACTTAGGAACTTCAAATTTGGTTTGTGGGTTGCTCTTACCGTAACCACAGTAACAGACAGTCAGGCAGCTCTTGGTCAAGGCGTTAAATGTTATTCATCCCGGCCGTGGCACGTAGACAATATCCTCGCTAGGGCCATGCATTATGCAGTGCATTAAAAATACAGCGCGAACAGCGACCTCATGCGGCCACCATTTCTATGCAAATTAGTTGGACCCAATATCGCGCCTTGGTTCAATCGTCGGCAAAAGCTTATGTTTTTCTTTATTTTGCGCTGGATTTCTAGCGCACGACCTCGTATGTGAGTACAGATAAGTGTAGGCGGGGCTAATATGTGGAGTGTCCAATCACACCTTGGTAAATCCGGATGTCATCAAATTGTTTGCAGCTAGCTATTCGCCTTTTGCGGAAGTGACAGGAATCACAGTTTTGTGCGTTGATGCCGTGTGCAGAGACACATAACGCGTATGTGTACATGTATGGATTATCTACAGTGCCACGTTTTACTAAGCAAGTTTCCTCGCGACGATCGACCAATAAGAAAACAACATTTAAGTTCAGCTTAGGCTATTAACATAATGAGCACCACCCCCAAAACCTCACATGGACGATTGAACCAAGGCGCTATATTGGGTCCAACTGATTTGCATAAAAATAGTGGCCGCGTGAGGTCGCTGTTCGCGCTATATATTTAATGCACTGTGCTGCATGCATAGCGCATAGACATTATGACTGCATGCATTACCGCGCTAGGGCCGGATAAAAAACAACTAGCGCCTTGACCAAGGCTAATCCAAATCCTTTTCATATAAATAAAATGCACGAAAATAAATATGCAGACGAAAATACATGGTTATCAAGTGAAGAACAGAAGAAACTTAAAAGGCTTGTAAATACAAGAGTATTAAAATTAAAAATCCAAAACCACATGTGTTACTGCAAACCGAAATGAAAATGACAAAAATCCTTGGTATCTTAAAACATTTTACTCTTAACCCAGGGCTATAGGGGAAAGGGGGCCAGGAATCGTCTCAGATTTGCAACACAGAGCATCTCGATTCCAAAATTTCCTGGGGCCCTTTATTAGTGGGCCCCTGACCCCACACTCTCATTAGTCCTTGGAGCAAATGCCCCAACACATTGTTGCAACAGTTTACAAACTAAGTCAATATGATTCTTTTTCCAAAATACAATGCAAGAAATATGAATACAAAAATACATGGTTTACTATTTTAAAGTAAACAGTAACTTAAATGATTAAAAGCAGGAGTATATTTAAAAAGAATCCTTATAATCTTAAAAGCTTTTGCTCAAACAATTCAGGGGTAAAGGGGCCAGGAATGGCCTCAGATTGCACCACAGAGCATCTAGAATCCAAAATGTTCAGGGGCTCACGCTCGTATTAGTTCTCAGAACAAATTTCCCAAATCTCCTGGATCTCCTAGATCCGCGCCTGATGTCTGTGAAGGGCAAAAACACAATATTGATTTACATCACCCCAATGCAAATTTCATCTTATGAATAATATTTTAAAAAACAAAATATGGTGTTATTCACATACATGTACCTGTTATTCACATACAAGTACGAGTGAAAGTTGGAAAAATCACCTGGGTGGGACTGGAACCCACGACCTCCTGCTTTCTAGTGCAGATGTCTTACCACTCGACCACCAAGCTAACGGGATCGGTTGGCTGGTTCGAATCTGATGCACATAACAGCGGGTACCGCATAAACTATTATAAGATGGAATTTTTGCGTTGGGGTGATATAAATCAAGTTAGGTTTTGCCCTTCACCGACGTATAAACACTGTATACTCAGTGTGTTACCTCCCGAGTGAATGTTGGAAAAAATCACTCGGGTAGGACTCGAACCCACGACCTCCTGCTTTCTAGTGCAGATGTCTTACCACTCGACCACCGAGCTAACCAGCCAACCGATCCCATAAGCTTGCTGGTCGAGTGGTAAGACATCTGCACTAGAAAGCAGGAGGTTGTGGGTTCCAGTCCCACCCGAGTGACTTTTTCCAACTTTCACTTGGGAGGTAACACACTGAGTATACAGTGTTTAAACGTCGGTGGAGGGCAAAATCTAATTTGATTTATATCACCCCGTCGCAAAAATTCCACCTTATAATAGATATTATAATTCTTGCTTTTGATTGTAGATTTCCCACAAATAAGTAGAGCCAGCATAGGAAACACCGGCGAGATCAGCGGTAGCCAGAACTCTATCATTGTTGGTTCAGGTGAAGTTAATATCACTTACAACATGCCGTTGGAGGAATGCGGTAAATATAATCTTGTTTGATGCAATGAAGTAGTTTGATATCTTAAATCAAGTGTTAATGTATTGGGGGGGGGGTCAGGGCGGGGGGTTTACGGTTTAAGAATATGTGTTGAATATAGTTCCATGACTTAGCTGTTGTAATTCTCCAGATATATAGGACTTTAAAATTTCAGATGACAATCGGGGCCCACCAAGTTTCAGTGATTTTACCCTATCACGGCATATATGCCTTGCTTCTGACCTGCAGGAGTCAAACATGGAAATTGTGTCCGGAAACTGTCTCAGAAAACGTGCAGACTTTGCAAGTGCAATGTACACAAATGACTTCCGACTGACGAGTTTGGTCGAGAAAATGCTTTGTAATTCAGCACTTGTAGGTCAAAATGAAATATGCAAATAAAGATCAAAGGAAATCCACAGCTCCCCACATTAACATGAATAACTTTCTGTTCAATGTTCACAATTCCTTTGTTATAAATCAGCAAAGTTTGAAAGGAGATTGGAAAAAAATAATGGCTTAAATAATTTCTATTACTATATTCAAAGACAAATGCGTGTTAACTCATTTCATACGCAAGTACGTTTTACTGTAGAATCAAGTCTTCGATAAACAAATCTAGGTCTGGTCGTAATTGGTATTATTCAGCTTGCTTTGCCTTCTTTTTAGGGGTTGGGTGGGGGGTGTGGTGTTGAGAAAGGTAGGTCGCTATACATCCTTAAATATGCCCAGGAATTTACAGACAATGAGGACTAATAAGTGGGTCCACACCCTGCTCGTGATAACACACAAGACTTGAAAGTGACCTGAAACACTGCACAGTACAGTATTATCAAAGGTTTGCTTTCTGCTGTGTGATGTACCGCCAGCAACAGTTCGTCCTTTCATCACCCCGTTTGTGGCGTGATCAAAGTTTCTGCGTTGACTTCATCGCTGAGTGAATAAAGACTGGCTATTGCACGCAATGTCAACCTTGTGAAACTGCATTTAGGCCCAAAAAAAAGTCTCCGGTTTCTGGTATGGAGCTTGTCCAAAAAATGGGGGGGCAACGCGGCTTTTTTTTTGTTGTACCTGATTTTTTGCTTCAAATGTCGGCTGATGACTACAAATGGTGCCCGACTAAACTTAGTGCAAATATATGGGAGTCCAGAGAGGCCACATAATGCTTATTCTCGACCATAACCCACTCTAAAAACACGTTAAAATTGTGCAGCAGCAGGATTCCAGTCAAACCAGTGAGTTTGGCGGTTTTGAGACGGTTTTGAGACTTTTATTGAAAAATAACCTTTTTCATTTTGCCGACACGCATGGCTACGGCGACGCGCGCGCATACCAGAAACTGGAGACTTTTTTTTGGCCTTATCAAAACATGCATTTTGATCTCAGGGATGTCAAATTAAAGGGCACATGTAATGTAATTTGTTTCAATGCAATCCTTGAAAATGCACCTTTGTGTCCCATCTAACTTCAAATTCTTTTTGGCTATGTGTTTATGCTAATCCAAATTTCCATATTTTAGTAAAACCGGGATGTTATTCTGGTCAGAAACCTCAATATTACAGTTATTTCAGCATGACAAATTGCTAGAATTTTTCGATATTTTAAGGTTGTAAATTTTCTTTGGCTTCATTGTGTCAGTAAATGGCAGTATCAGCCAATGAGCGAACCTTTCTCAATTTTTTTTATTGACCAATTGACCAAATAATGGGGGCTTGATTCGAACAGAAAACCCTTTTCAGTAGAAAAATATCAAAAAATGGACATGCAAATTGTTCGTTTTTGATGAATTGCAGCTTGAGAGAATTGTTATGAATCATGTTTATGTATACTTAATAAATAGTTTACTCTTACTAATGTTATGATTTATTTTAGAAACCACCGGATTCCAGGGGTCAGGTACAGCAGATAACCTGCTGAAATTAGTAGAAGGCGAAAACAAATTCCGTGATTGGTTGAAGAAGGAGATTAGAGAAGACAATGTTCTTGCGAAGGAATCCTCGCTGAGATTTTATTGCAGTAGTTCAGGCATGCAGGCTGCTGGTCTCATTCTGGATCACATACAAGAGATGCAAGTTGATAAAGAGGAACTGCAGAGATTGGCTCTGTTACTGTTGTGTGACTCTGGTTCAGAAAATTTGGCTACCAAACTAGTAAGACCAACTTTGGTAAACTGCAAGAGTAACGAAGACCTGAAATCACTGAGCTACTACTTACAGCATGTCACTCCGCCACTTGAAGGTGCACATTTTCACATGAATGTAAGAAAGCAGGAGCTTACCCTTCTCAAGGGAATTCTTCCGAGTGACAGCATTGAGTCAGCTGGGCTGATATCAGTTTATAACTACCACTTGTCTGAGCAGGAGGGGGAGGAGCTTAGCCTCCTTGAGGAAACACTTGGTGTGGTGGATGAACAGCGCCGTGCTCAATTACACATTGTGGTTCAATTTGAGGCGAAGTCGTGGTTTGATGTGGGGCGTATATCACACAGCTTTTTCCGCATGCAGGAACAAAAAGGCAGGCTTGCTTTGGTTATGAACCAACGATCACCGGATGAGGTTGTTGATCTATTGAAGGCACTGGAAGGATGCAGGTTGGGTTGGCTCACACTGTATCATACTGACCTGCATGCACGGGTGCGAGATGTTAGCCGCTTCTCGTCATCCCTTACACTCTTGCAGCTCCCTACATGCAGGTTGGGCGATGATGACGTGAAGGATCTGATCAGCATCTTTCCTGCTGGGCATGGTTTACAATGGCTTAACCTTGATGGCAATGCATTCAGTTTGGATGCAGTGAGGGCTCTCATCGGTCATCTCCAAGGTTTCCAAAGTTATGTCGGTTGGGACTTCATAACATCGGCCTCGATGCTAAGCTCATCAGACAAGTTGTCAGTCAAGACCTCCCTCGCCTGAAGGAAACACAAGAGGGATTATTTGAAGTCTAAATAATCTCCCATCAAGTCATAACTCTCTCCCTGTTCCCTATGAATGCACCACGCTCACGAGCCGCATTAAACCGAAACAAGTAGCACGTATCATGGGTCATTTTATGTGAAGTCAATGCTCTGCAACCCCCCCCCCCCTAAAAAAAAGAATCAGTAAAAAAAAAAAAAATCAGTTAAAAAAACAACAACAACAACAATCAATAACAACAACAACTTTATTTTCAGAGGACAATAAGGGGCTCGATAATAATGAAAAAGTCAACAAAACAGTTTCAATACAAATAGAGTATTCCGAATCCTCTTACATTATGAATACAAATAATTATACCAAGCATAGTTCTTCACTCTACTGAACCTCCATCCCCCAAAAAATTCAATCCATCAATTGATCAATCAATCAGTGTGAAAAGTCAATCAACAATTCCTGTACAAAATGATTCATTGAAATCTTCAAACATAATAGCACTGTACTAAGCATTCTGGGTGTCACTTGAAAGTGATATTAAATTGACCTTGTATCTTGGGTGACCTCTGAGTACTATTATAAATCTACAATCTAATCGTCAATTAAACAGGAGAATCCACCTCTCCTATCCATTTCTTTTGAGAAAATATCTTGTATCGCATCATCTATGTAAAATTGTGTGAGATGTCTTCAACTTTTGTGACAAAGGCCTCCTCCTACCCTGTTATCCGATCAATGTATTGATATGGCATTCAAACAAACTAATGTGACCACGCACAAATGGCTGCACGACACCCTTCCATAGACCAGTGCTGTGCAAAACTTAGTATACAGAATAATACCCAAAACCTCGGGTACTTTTGAATTGTCTTGCGTTTGCCTTATGTACAAATTCGGAAAATTCTCGCAACTTCACGCCTTTCAAACAGACGTTTCTTTTGAGTGTTTGTGCTTCATTCTTTATCAAATCGTTTGGGTAAATTAATGTAAATTATGCATAAAATGGCAAAAATTATGATTCCAGTTTGCTAACTTTTGTATAGATCTTTATTAAACATGTTTGTGATTTCTGGTTCTGGTTCATTTTGAGTCGGTAAAGTTCATTCAAGAATATCACACCAACTTTTGACCTTATGACACGCATGAAGTGGATGCGGAGATGACCTTAGTAAATTGCCTAAGTTGTCCATGAAGTGCTTGGATGCAATATCCTTGAATGCAAGTAGTGTTCTAGAGTTGACGATGTTGGCTGGAAACTTGTTCCATTCTGTAATGGTTCTCGGGAAGAAAGAGTTCTTGTAGGCTTCCTTGGTTGCACGTTGTTTGTAGAATTTGTGTTGGTGCCCCCTGGTATTTCTTGTGTTTAAGGTGCAACCAGCTCGTGTTTGATTTTGTAGAGCATTGATAGTCTTTGTATCTTCCTGCGCTCTTTCATGTCTCCCCACTTGAGGTGCTCCAAGATTCCAGTGACTGTTCCCTCTTCCCCACTGTAATTTTTTGAGCAAAATCTTGCTGCCTGTCTTTGGACTCTGTCCAGTGTTTTGGTATTACACTCGGTACTCAGATTCCATAATGAAACCGAGAATTTGATGTTCCTTAAACATTATTTATAGCATTTAAAACAGTCATACCTGGCAAAATGGTCACTTTGATTATTAGAGATAGTGTAGAAGTTCACCGACAGTGTTGGTCTTGGAGCAAGACGTTCTTGATTCACGATACTGAGACGGTACAGCCTTAATTCCTATCACACATCACCACAAACCTGACTTGGGCAGCGAACCGCTCTCAAAGACGTCAAAGAACGTCCTTTGCGCTGCTTGTTAGTTTGTGTGTAGCACCCACTTCGGTGAATTGCTGCACAGTCCAATAACCCGCGCGCGCATTATCGCACCGCTAACGGCTAAGGACGTCTTGGAACCAAGACTAAGACAGTGGTTTTGCCCTTAAGTTAACAAAAATTGTTTCCCTGAAGTATGAGATCCTTCAAAAGTAGTAACATTTTTTTTGTGTTGTTATTGCAGATCAATACAGTAAGAAAAGCCCCAGGCAACGTAATGGTAAGGGGATATTTGTAATCTGAAAAAAAAAAATAATAATGGAAATTTAAATATTAAAGAAAAATGTGCGTGATATTGATTTTAAGAATAAAACAATTTCAGTTCTCTGTAAAATTTTCAATCACTTTTCCTTGTCAAAGCCAAGCAAGAGTTGCAGTGATCTTAGTGATTTTAGTGATTATGCCCTGTCAATTTAATTCTACAATATATGTAGAGATTTTTTTACCAAAGACATGTTTTTATAATCAACCATTAATAAACACCTTGGCGAGTTGATAATTTCTGATTGGTCGAAACTCAATCACGTGGGGGTGTATTAACATGTGATATAAAGACCGGCTTCAAGAACAAGCGAATAAATGGCCCCTGAATCAGCATTGATCCAGCAACATGTAAGCCACTGATTGGCCAAATAGACAACAATCCTTCAGTAACTTTTTATACTATACATGTAGCTGTAGTACACATGCGCTCAACCACCACGGTGTGAAGACTTCCGTGCCCGTATGCAACACATATGCTGTACATGTACTGTAGTTGTTATGCGGGGCGTGCGGGCGCGTAATAACATTGATAGGGCCTTGTAAATAAGACACGAGTTCAAAAATGGGGGGGGGGGCATTTGATATTGTGTCCCAATCCTTCAAAAAGAGAGGAGGGGACCTGTCCCCCCCCCCCCAGGATTGACGCCCATGCCTGTCACAACAAACATGCCTTGCTTCTGAGCTGAAGGAGTCTAGCATTTCAGCACGACAAATTGCTAGAATTGTTGATATTTTGCGGTCGTAAATTTTCTTTGGCTATTCATTGTTGTGTCAGTACATGGCATTAAGCCAGTGAGCAAACCTTTCGCAGAAATGTTTTGAACAGAAAACCCCTAAACAGTGTCTTCCTGAAATGACATCACAGCAACAGTTGTCCCTCAGTTGTCCGGAAAAGCATGGAAAATTGTTTTGTGTTTGAAGAATCAGAAGTGCACTTTCAATCAAATTAACCAAAAAGGGATTTTAAATAATTTCATACATTTAAGGGAATAGAAAGTTGCACAAATTGTGTTCCTAAGAAAACCCGTCGCATTTAGACCCTTGATTTAAACATGAATTGTGGATACGTAAATTTTAATCCCAGGCAAAATTTGTCAGTGTACATTATACTGCATGGAATTGGAAATTTCAACCAATGGATCATACGTTGCAAAATATAGGTAAACTAAATAAACCTGATTGCAGAAGAAAATACCGGACTTTTTTTTATTCTGGTGCAGAGGCGTTGGCTACCAAACTTGGCAGAGGCAGACCAACTGAAGTAGAATGCGAGAGTAACGAAGACCTAAAAACACTGAGTAACTACTTACAGAATGTCACTCCGCCACTTGAAGGTACGTCCTTCACCCTGAAGAATGTAAGACATCATGACCTTACCCTTCTCAAGGAAATTCTTCTGAGTGACAGCGTGAAGTCAGCAAGTAACATACATGTTGACTACTACTTGTCTAAGAAGGAGGAGGAGGAGCTTAGCCTCCTGGAGGAAACCCTTGGTGTGGTGAATGTTGTTGTATTAGTGATTGCGGTTTACATTGTGCCGCAGTCATGGTGCGATGTGGGGCGTGTATCGCGCAGCTTTTTCCGCATGCAGGAACAAATGGACAGTCTTCAGTTTTGTATGGTCAAACGATCACCGGATGAGGTTGTTGATCTTTTGAAGGCACTGGAAGGATGCAGGTTGAGTTGGCTCTCACTGTTTGACATCAACCTGCATGCACGATTGCAAGATATTAACCACATCCCGTCATCCCTTACAATCTTGAAATTCTATGGATGCAGGTTGGTCGATGATGATGTGAAGGACCTGATCAGCATCCTTCCTGCTGGGCATGGTTTAAGAGTGCTTGTTCTTGATTTCAATGCATTCAGTTTGGATGGATTGAGGGCTCTCACCCATCATCTCGGAGGTCTCTATAGTTTATGTGGGTTGAGTCTTTGTAACAACGGCCTTGATCCTGAGCTCGTCAGACAAGTTGTTTGTCACAACCTCCCTCGCCTGAAGGAAACAGAACAGGGATTGTTCGTAACATATTAAATAATCTCCCATCAAGTAATTACTATCAATGCACAACTCTCATGAGGCGCATTCAATCGAAACAAGCAGCACGTATCATTGGTCATTTTATGTGAGGTCACCAATGCTCTGCAACCCCCCACCCCCCCCAAAAAAAAAGAACAGAAGAAGTAACATCAAATCAAAACAACAACTATCAATAAAATTAAAAAGTTACTTTCAGAGGACAATAGGGGGCTTGATAATGAATGAAAAAGTCAACAAAACTGTTTCAATCCTAATAGATTTATTTGAAATCCTCTTACATTATGAATCATACCCAGCATAGTTCTTCATTCTACTGACCCCCAATCTCCCCCCCCCTCCCCCCCCCCCCCAAAAAAATCAATACATCCATATGTGATTTGTTTTCATTTTGCTGAAAGAATTACCTTCATGTGATCCATTGACAGGACTTTGAAACAGTGGCAGTGTTTAAAATCCGTAACTTGAAAAGTACATCAGTGATTTGAGTGATTCTTGTACTAAAAGAAAGCTTATGAATTGGGCTTTCATATCCTAGATTTTGAAAGTGCCACATGCAGAAATTCACTAAAAATGGTCCCGACATGTGGAGTTTATTTATTTTTTTTGACTAACCCTGTATATACATGTACAATGTTGCATTGCCAAATGACGCCTTTTTGTCAAAGGACAGTCATGTTTGCTCATTCAGGACCAATCGTTCAGATTATTGTATACGCAAAAATGTTTCTGTGTTTCTGATTATGTTGAAATAGGTACAAGTGGACAATTTGCTTGTTTTTATCGTTGCAAGCCTCTTCAAAGTATTGATTGACATTAGATTTGTTTGTTCCAAGTATGATCAATATTCTGTACAAAAAGTGACATTTTTTGTTTGTAACAGTTTTGATATTTTGCAGTTGCCCAGGTGATAACAGTCGTTTATAACATGCCCAAATGCAACCATTCAATTTGGTAAAAGCAGTTCTGCAGGAGAGAAAAGTATACTTTGAATCAATGTTTTGATTTATTCACATTGGAAATGTAAACTGAATGTAAATAATGTTTAACTGTTGTTGCTGGCATTACACATGAAAGAAGATTTTGATTAAAATGAGATTTACACACTGTAACTGCAAAGCCAAACTGATTGCAATTTTAAATGACGGGGATTTATTTACTCATTAATTTACACATTTCAAGGGATATGGGATGGGATCATTTGTATTTATCCCAAAAGTAACATACCAAATTGTAATCAAAAAGCTCACTTGGATTAAAGATCGTACTGGTACTAAACACCTTGTGAAATTATTCCATCTGGATTGCTGTCATTAAGAAGAAATCAAGAAATGTAGGTGATTTTCAATGATATGTCAATTGACAGATTTTTGGAAATAAGAGTTCTATGGACGAAATCGTGTTTGGCGATCAAAAGTTTGTGAATGGATATTTCACTCTTTTCTTGAAAAGTGTAATATCCAAAGCTTCAACATGTTACATTTTGAATATTCTTCAGTGGAACATTGATGATATTACATGTATTGGAAACAAGCAAAATGCATGAAATACAAATGTTCCTATATGCCTTCAAGCCATATTGGTTTACAAACTACATAATTGTGATTTTTATCTTGTGATCATTAATGTGCAACTCTGTAAGATAAGGTCATCACTCGGGCACGAACTCCAAGCCAAGATAATCTGCTGATAGTTTGGATTCCGTTTCACGTTTGCTGAAATTGAGCGAAATAAAACTTTCACTCTTTATATAGAACATTGTCATAGTTCCTGACACTTCTCCAACCAGTGTGTTATGTTCACCCCTGGCAGTGTGAGTTCCGATGACCTAGTATTGCGCCCTCTCGTGGTCATCGTAGTTTTTTGCTCAAGTTACACAATTGTGCAGTCACGCCAAGTTTCAGTCCATTTTAGTGCCCATTTTCCCATCCTTTTGAGACCACTCTATACCGATAGCCTTACACCAGAAGACCACTGGTGAGTTAAGATTCCATTTATACTTGTGTCAGTGATTATTGATTGTTATTTGATGAGTAATTTGTATCGTAATTTTCAGTCACATTTTGCCACCATGATTTTCTGTATCGTATCGATAATTTTCTTGTGCCTTGCGAAAACTTTCCCTGATTTTGTGCCTTAGAATTTCCCTCAATATCGAGGCTGGTTTCTCAGATGAACTGACTGAAATGTTCAGTATTGTTTTCTGGTCAAGAAACAGTGGATATTTGGTCATTTTATGTTTTCATATCGACGATGTTGGAATGTTATATAAGGTTAGGTACTTAGTTTTTGTGTGCACACGAGGCCTTCCTAAGCACATGCTCTCGCCATTTTTTCCACGATGTTATGAATATTCATGAGCTGGATTCCATATTTGGGATTAGCGTATCCTTATTTGGAAATTGCAGTAGTGCTGCAAGGTTTACAGTGTATTTAGGAATTATGCATTTTTCTTTGTTTTAGGTTGATGATTTCACTGAGTATTCCAGACCCATAGAAAGTTTGAGGACACTTCATCTTTTGGAGAGCACAGTTCTGTAGGTTAATTTTCATAGATTGTCTTATGTGAATGTACTATCCCTTGGAGTTTTTGAGATTATTTTATGCTCTTATTTTTGTGATGTTTCTTATACATGTATCAGTTTGACATATTACTTTTTGATCTGTCAATATTTCATTTATATTTTTATGTCTGGTAGTGTTAAATCTCTTGCCAACCTGTGTAAATTTGTGCACATTGTTAATTGTACTTAGTGTATTTTCCTTGTATTTCTTGTTTTTCAGTTTTACCTCATGTGGTCCACCCACGACACAGGAATGAGAATAAAGCAGTCAAAGTTCACAAATCCTGTATTAGTCAGAGGTTAACTTGTCGGAGAGAGGGCGCCCTCGGCGCTCCATGTTCGTCATACAGTGACTGTGCTCCCGTTACACAGAAAAACTGGTTATTGAAATGTCCTCAGTTTAATACTGTGCTTTTGTTTTTCCCAAACGTTATTTCGTTATTATCAAATAGACATTGAAAGTTGACCTGGATCTTTTCGTGCAACTTAAGTTACATGTTGTAATAAAAATAAACCACAAAGGAGAACTGTCTCGGTGCATTATAATACATGTATAACTTGAAAGTTGAACAAAGACATTGACTGGAGCTGGTTTGACCTGGTGACCTCTGGATTCCTGTTCCGATACGGTGATCTGGAATGGTAATCCTGCTACAGTCAATTTCCTTGTTTAATTTTTAAATTAAAATTAAAAATCTGATATTTGCACCGTTTGGCGGAAGTAAGTTGATTTGGCTTTGATATGGTTAACTGTGAAAGCAATTTTTGTTGAAATTTGTATGTTATTTGTATTATTTGTTATTGGTGCAGAAACATTTCTGATCTCTTCTTTTCCTTTGTTCCAGAAATTTGGGGAAAAGTTTAAGACGTCAGGGATTATATTTGACATTGTGTACTTTGTATGATTATTATCATGTAATAAATCATTCCATGCAGTGACTTAAGTCAATCAAGGAGAAATCTTTGAGGTTAGATGATTGTTGTGTTATGCCTCCATTCCTCCCTCAGTGATGGACCAATCTCCCGCCTCTGAATTCTACAGCTGGGTCACCACTCGGGTTTTGTAATCAGGCATGCAGGCTTCATAATGAGGATAGCAAAAGAAATTCCTTAAAAAATATATCAACCCAATCACAAATTTACTTCATGCAATTAAAAATATGATTACACAGCTAAATCGCTGATGGATCCAGAAGCATTTATTGTTGGGGGATTAAGAAAGTGGTAACCGACAGGCCAGTTGTTGCCAATTCCTTATGTGGAGGGGCGGGGCTAGATTGCATTTTATGGGAGGGGTGCAGTGTTTCCTTTCTTTTCTTTCTTTATAAAGTGGCAACGGGGATGAATAGACTACAATTTCGCATTAAACCAGTCGTCTTCACTTGTTCCATGGTGGATTAATATTCAAGGCATTTCTAGTGGCCCCCACTTCAGTCTGCAAGACAGCTTCTTTGATTACTTCAGGACAACTTCAAATAAGTTGAAGTTGTCTTGAATGAATCGTTGTTTCATTACATTGTTTTGTTGTGGACCTGTTGTGTTTTGCTGTTGTGGGCTTAGCGACACCACGGTGGCTCATTTGAAAACAAAAAGCTTTTTTAAAATATTTTTCTAGCACCCAATGAACACCAACAAATAGAACTTTACCTATTAACACCCCCCTCTTCAATTCGTCCCCTTTCATGAATTCATGATAATTCGTCACCGTTTTCACGAACAGCCACATACTATATATATTATGTTGATTTTGAAGTAAAGTGTTTTCGAGATAATCACAAAAGAAGTTTCTCATATTTTAAAACTGCAAGAAATACTACTTTGCAACAACTTTGTGCAGCAAGAAAACCATCACACAATTCTACGTGAGCTGAAGTTTTACATAAACCCGGTAATAAGACTTAATAAAGCAGTTAATTAGTGGAAATTAATTAGTAAAGATATGTGGCTCTTCGTGAAAACGCAAATTCACGTTTCCGACATATTGGCCCTTTCTGTTCAACGTGTATTTCCATAGGCGCGCGTGAGTACGCGCGCGCGCCTGAAAATGTAACACAGATATGTGGCTCTTCGTGAAAACGCAAATCTCATTTGACCTACTTTTACGTATTTCCGTGCAATGGGTTTTGTACGCGTTCAAAGGGCCAAAATGTATGTGGCTCTTCGTGAAAACTCAAAATGCAGTTATCGAGATTTCTGCCCCTTGCAACATTAATGTAACTTAGAAATTAATGATGTTTTGCTTACAGAAACATGTCAAAATGGTTAAGTACATTGTTTTAATGCGAAATATTGAAAAAATCAAAATCGAAAAAAATTGTAATTTTGGAGATATGTGGCTCTTCGTGAAAACGGTGACGAATTGTCTAGGCCCCACTACCAATAAACAACTCTAATTTAAGAACAAAACGCACTTTTTGTTTCACTTCCCTTCGATATTCCCTAAATAATGTTTTTGTAAAATTAAATTAAGCTGTCTACATTGTGTATGGGTTGGAGGTGGGCAGGCATGGATTCGGGGGGGGGGGGGGTTCAAAACGCCCCCCCCCCCCTGCTCTGTCATTTTGTTTTCTTCATAGAAACTCATATAATTAATGCCCCCCCCCCCCCCCCCCCCCCCCCCCCCCCCCCCCCCCCCCCCCCCCCCCCCCCCCCCCCGCTGTGACACCCCAAATAAATTATACTGGTAATAATATACTGGTCAAATTCCTGCATCCGCCCCTGGTGGGGTTATCAGTGATGGACAAGTTAATTTCGCCGCACTAATCGAAAGTCCGCCCTCTATGGCTACATTTATTAAATAGAGGAATATCAAATATTAAATATTAAATATTTAATCAAGGAATATTATTAAAAATAGAGGAATATAGAAGTCGCGGCACTCTAAAAATTTCTAAATGGGCGTTGCGGGGGGGGGGGGGAGGGGCAGTTATCGCTTGATGAAAAAAAAATTGCACCTGTACAAATTTGCATATACATTCCACAAGGGCTATACCAAATTAATGAAGGGAACTCAGTTCAAAATAAAATTTCTTTTTAACAAACTATTGAATTTGAAGACGATCTTTTCTGAGATACAGGTCTCCAATATTGTTTGATATAAAAATTGTGGGAATTGAAAAAGATGGTAAGCAAACATTGTGAATTAAAATAAAAACGACTTTTCCCCAAGCTAAAAAGCCTGAAACTACCCCAGCACAAAATTTGCCCGGTAGCTTTCATTGGTGAGTAAGGCGCCGCAGAAATAACTGGTTCGCACTTCCCAATGCTTCTGAAATCATTGCAATAGTACAGGGACCAGGGATTTGTTCACAAACCAATCTCACGTGGTTCGTTGCGCGTTCTTAAATTGGCGGGGCACGACGTGGAGGACTTTCGAAAAAAACGTCACAACAGTGAAAGTAAGTTTGCCAATTTTTGCCTGAAAAGTTTACTATTTGGCCTTGGAAAGCTAGGTGTAAGTGATTGAACTACTGTAGATTCTTCTGAAGTTATAATTTTTTTGCGTATGGAGAACTTTGCCACCTGTGCAGAAAATCAAAGCCCTGCACGCACAACGGTGCATTTACCCGGCGACCTTGCACAGCCAACTGCGTAGACTGGACTATACATAAGGAGCCGTCTATCCTCAGAACAAAAGCGATGTCTGATTTGACAAGAAAAGTGCCCCTTGTTCTTCTCAACCAATCAAAAAGTTTGTTACATGAATGGAATTAGCTTATTGTGTTATCTTTCAGAAGCCGTGCGAGCAGTGGCGTAGCCAGGAATTTTCAGGGGGGGGGGGGGCGCTGGGGGCTGGGACATTTTATGGGAGGCGTCATGTAGATCAATGATAATTTTTTTTAGAAACTCAAAATCTCAGTGGGGGGGGGGGGGGGCAACTTGGGGCCGACAAGGTTTCATGGGGGGGGGGGGGGGGGGGGGGGGGGCTGAACAGCCACCTACGGCCCCTGTGGCTACGCCACTGCATGCGAGGTAATTGTATGCGACCGGGTTCACACGTGTGCTGTTCGAAGATGTAAACCAGCACCCTAAAAATCGGGGAATTGTGCCGTGACCTCCATAGAAACGTGAAATTTCCACTTAGTTGCCTGTTTTTCAATGAAAAAGTGCACATTATTCGCCTTTAATCATGAAGAAGTTATATTCATGTGAAAGAGGAAAATCTGTATTTGGTGATGCGATACAAGGAGGTAAGTTTAACAAACATACTTTCCGCATATTAACAAAAGTTTGCTCAAAGTGCCTACTAGTAGCCAGTCTTCCCACGTAGACAGAGCTTCACTAGTGTCGAGTGAGCAAATGCTCCATTGTTCTCCATATGGGTGTCACAGTGGGGGGGGGGGGGGGGGGGGTGACTTATTTTTTAGGAATTTGTATGGCAATTTTTTGGGGGGCAGAGCTAGCTGGGGGGGGGGGGGGTGGTTGACCCCTACAATCCCCCCCTGGATCCGCGCCTGCATTTGCAATGCATGCTGGGCATGGATAAAAACATGAATTTTAATCAGACTGTCTTTTTTATTGACATTCAAATATGGCATGTGGAGTATATTTAGCCGGCACTGGCTTTCTTTAAGCGAACGATATTTTGCCGGATAGGCACTGAACATACGCAGTGACATTTTCTGGGACTTAAAAATAAAACATAGTACCTTCGCTTGTACCCCCACCCCCCTCCCTGCAAACAGAACGCTTGTCAGGGCTGACGTCATTTGAGCTCTCATTGGATAGATTTGCGTGACCTGTGACGTACATGTAGAACGCGTCACACAAACTAACTTCCGGTGCCCATCATGCGTAGTGCGTGCTAGCTGCATGTGAAGGTTAGTCCCATAAATGTGACAGTAATACTGGACTTCCTACTCTGGTTAATAGGGAGGTAGACCAGTACACCGTCACATTTATGGGACTAATAAACTACAAAGTCTAAATGTGAACAATAGAAACTAGACAAAATTTTACATTGTCAGGTACATGTACCAAGTGTGGACTTTATTTACGGAGGTAGTCCGGTAAATTGGCCACATTTATGGGGCTAGACATTTGAACAGCTATGAGGGATGACACCTTCTTGAATGTTTTGTTTATTATGTTGTGGAAAGAGGGCATGATGTCTTTGATTTATTGGGGAAATTATGGGGTCAATGACGAAGACAACCAGAAAACAGGCTCAAAAACCAAGATGGCGACAGTGAAACTCGATGCAATGAAGGAATGATGCTGATTATGCTGATTGGCTGGATAAAAATTATTTTTTGTTTAACATGTTGTTATCAGCAAATCAGCATCGGGCTAAGCTTTCATTCTGTCTGGCATGCACACGTGTTGTAAGAAGTACAACGTGCAC